GGATGTGACGCCAGTACAATATAGATCAGATTTTATAATAGAACTTTCTGTCCAGTTTTGAGGTAGGCTGCCTGTGTGGGGTTCTCTATCTTGCAGAGCTCAGCAGACGAAGGCTGGAGAACCACACATCATGCATGTTGTAGGAAGTATTTACAACTCCAGGCAAGAGTTGTATCGAGCCTCCATTATTCTTCCTAAGCTTCTAACCCAGGAATAGCCAGATAGAAGAGATACATAGGGTGCAGGTATGAGGATAAGGGTGCGCAGCTTCCATGTCTTCTTTAGGTGGGCCACTGTCTAAGGATCTCCACATGTTTACCAAGCCTGGAAGCTCCTCAAAGGATAAATTTCTTCTTCTTTTTTTTTTTTTTTAATTTTATTTATACATGATAGACACAGACAGAGAGGCAGAGACACAAGCAGAGAGAAAAGCAGGCTCCATGCAGGGAGCCTGACATGGGACTCTATCCCTGGACCATAGGATCACTCCCTGGGCCAAAGGCAGGCATTTAACCGCTGAGCCACCAGGCATCCCATAAATTTTTTTTTTTTTTTTAAAGTATTATGTTCATTTTTTTAAAATATATATATATTTTTAATTTTATTTATTTATGATAGTCACAGAGAGAGAGAGAGAGAGGCAGAGACATAGGCAGAGGGAGAAGCAGGCTCCATGCACCGGGAGCCCAACATGGGATTCGATCCCGGGTCTCCAGGATCGCTCCCTGCGCCAAAGGCAGGCGCCAAACCGCTGCGCCACCCAGGGATCCCTGGCATCCCATAAATTTCAAAAATATAAAGGATACGAAGAAAACTCATCTGATGTGACTACCTGCAAATAAAAGAAGATATACTTTTTAAATGACTTTAAAATTAAATGCCATGATAAAAACCATCAACGAAGTAGGTTCAGAGGGAATGTATCTCTATGTAATAAAGAACATCTATGAAAAGCCCACAGCTAATATCCAAAACGGGGAAAAACTCAGTGCTTTTCCTCTGTGGTCAGGAACAAGAAAGGGATGTTCACTCTCACCACTATTATTTAACATAGAACTGGAAGTCCTAGCTACAGCAGACAACAAAAAGAAATAAATGGCATCTAAAATCAGAAAGGAAGAAGTAAAACTTACTATTTGCAGATGACAGGATACTTTATATAGACAACCTAAATGACTCCACCAAAAAACTGCTAGAACTGATACATGAAATCAGTAAAGTCACAGGATACAAAATCAATGTACAGAAATCTGTTGCATTTTTATACACTAATAATGAAGCAGGAGAAAGAAATTAAGAAAACAATCCCATTTACAAATGCACAAAAATAATAAGATACCTAGGAATAAGCCTAACCAATGAGGTGAAAGACCTGTATTCTGAAAACTATAAAATACTGATGAAAGATTTCTCCAAAGAAGACCTACACATGGCCAACAAACACATGAAAGAAACTGAAGATGATACAGAGAAATGGAAAGACATCCCATGTCCATGCATTGGAAGTACAAATATTGTGAAAATGTCTGTACTATCCAAAGCAATCTCCACATTTAATGCAATCCTTATAAAAATACCAACAACATTTTTTTTAACATTTTTTTTTTCACAGAGCTAGAACAAACAAACCTAAAATTTGTGTGGAACCACAAAAGACACTGAATAGCCAAAGGAATCTTGGAAAGGAAAAGCAAAGCTGGAGGCATCACAATTCTGGACTTCAAGTTACATTACAAAGCTGTAGTGATCAAAACAGTATAGTACGGGCACAAAAACAGACACATAATCAATGGGACAGAATGGAAAACCCAAGAATGAACCTACAACTGTATGGTCAAGTAATCTTCGACAAAGCAGGAAAGAATATCCAATGAGAAAAAGAAAAATGGTGTTGGGAAACTGGACAGCAGCCTGCAGAGGAATGAAACCGGACCACTGTCTTACACCAACAAAAGTAAATTTGAAATGGATAAAAGACCTAAATGTGAGACCTGAAACCATAAACATCCTAGAGGAGAACATGGGTAGTAACCTCTTTGACATTGGCTGTAGCAACTTCTTTCTACATATGTCTCCTGAGGCAAGGAAAACAAAAGTAAAAATAAGCTATTCAGACTTCATGAAAATAAAAAGCTGCGCACAGTGAAGGAAACAATCAACCAAACTAAAAGCCAGTCTTTGGAGTGGGAGAAGATATTTGCAAATGACACGTCTGATAAAAGGTTAGTATCCAAAATATATAAACAGCTTATAAAAGTCAACATGCAAAACACAAATAATCCAATTTAAAAATGGGCAGAAGACACAAATAGATATTTTTCCAAAGAAGATCTGAAGATGGCCAACAGACACGTGAAAAGATGCTCAAAATCACTGATCAGAGAAATACAAATCAAAACCACAATGAAATATTACCTCACACCTGTCAAAATGGGTAAAATCAAGAACACAAGAAACAGTGGGTGTTTGCAAAGATGTGGAGAAAGGGGAATGCTTTTGCACTGTTGGTGGGAATGCAAGCTGGTGCAGCCACTCTGGAAGACAGTATGGAGATTCCTCGAAAGGTTAAAAATAGGACTACCCTATAATCCAGCAATCACGCTGCTAGGTATTTACCTAAAGAATACAAAAATACTGTGCTCGCTTTGGCAGCACATATATAAAAATACTAATTTAAAGGGATACATGCACTCTGCTGTTTATAGCAGCATCATCTACGATACCCAAATCATGGAAACAGCCCAAGGGTCCATTCACTGATGAATGGATAGAGAAGATGTGGTATGTATATACAATGGAATATTACTCAGCCATAAAGGAGAATGAAATCTTGCCATTTGCACCAACATGGTGGAGCTAGAGAGTATTATGCTAAATGAAATAAGTTAGTCAGAGAAAGACAAATACCATATGATTTTACTCTTATGTGGAATTTAAGAGCCAAAACAAACAAGCATTGGGAAAATAAAAAAAGAGAGACAAACCAAGAAACAGATTCTTAACTATAGAGAATGCACCGCTAGTTACTAGAGGGGAGTTGGGAGGGTGAGATGGGTGAAATAAGTGATGAGGATTAAGGAGTGTAGTTGTGATGAACAGTGGTTGATGTATGGAAGTGTTGAATCACTATATTGTACACTTGAAACTATACACTTCATGTTAACTAACTGGAATTTGAAAACTTAAGAAATAAATGAAATGACCTTAAATTTTAAAAGCAGACACCAACTTTGTGCATTGGCAGTGTTATACCCAGTGAGACTTTCCAACTGCTTGCAACCTCATTCCTGCCACCATTAGTCTCCTTCTAGAATATTGCAATAACGTCCTGACTGATCTCTCCTTCATCCCTTTCCAGTATATTCTTAACATTATAGCTGAAGTGAATATAAGCCAAGCCATGTCATGGCACTGCTTAGAACTCTCCAGTGATTCATCATCTCATTTAAAGTAAAAGACAAAACCCTTAAAGGAGTATACAGAGACCATATAAATTCTGTCCTCCACCCCCAAACTCACACCTTTCTGACCTTATTTCCTACCATTCTGCCTCTGCTGTTCTATTTACCTAAAAACTCCTCCTGTAGGCTATTCATAAGACTGGCTCTTTCCCCTATGCAGATGTCACTTTGTCACTAAGGAGGCCTTCTGAAACCACCACCTCATGCCACATGCTTTGTGCCTTTTTGCTGCTTTGGTTTTTCCAGCACATTTGACTTACAGTCTATTTTTGCCAAATATATATAAACTTCTATATCTCCCCCAATAAAAACTCTGTGGAGGTAGGCAATTCTGTCAAGGAACTTTTGTTCCTTGCTGTAGTGTTTGCACTCAGAATAGTGTCTAGCACATAGTAGAGACTCAACAAATGTTTATTAAATAAACGACTTTTATTTTTTTTTTTATTTTTTTTTATTTTATATTTTATTTTATTTATTTTATTTTTTATTTTATTTTATACATTTGGTTTTTTTTTTTATAAATTAATTTTTATTGGTGTTCAATTTACCAACATACAGAATAACACCCAGTGCTCATCCCGTCAAGTGTCCCCCTCCGTGCCCGTCACCCATTCACCCCCACCCCCCGCCCTCCTCCCCTTCCACCACCCCTAGTTCATTTCCCAGAGTTAGAAGTCTTTATGTTCTGTGTCCCTTTCTGATATCTCCCACACATTTCTTCTCCCTTCCCTTATATTCCCCTTCACTATTATTCATATTCCCCAAATGAGTGAGAACATACACTGTTTGTCCTTCTCCGATTGACTTACTTCACTCAGCATAATACCCTCCAGTTCCATCCACGTTGAAGCAAATGGTGGGTATTTGTTGTTTCTAATGGCTGAGTAATATTCCATTGTATACATAAACCACATCTTCTTTATCCATTCATCTTTCGATGGGCACCGAGGCTCCTTCCACAGAATAAACGACTTTTAAATTAAATTGTTTCTTATAAGTAAATCTTGGTCTCAAGACTGGTTTGAAAGCTCTTTGAGAGAGTGTCATATGTCGCTTTTGCATGCTGCACAACCCCCAACTTCAGACCTCCTCAAACACACAATAAAGTCAAGCAGACGGGCACATGAGTGAGCCACAGTCTGTATCCTTAGTGCCAGATTTCTTCTGCGTCTTGGGCTGGGACTCTGCCCAGACTACTTGACACAGAACGTAGTCTGTGTTGGAAGTGTTTTTTGTCTTGATCTGCATGGTGGCCCTATGACTATGTATACACATAAACCCATGACGCTGTGTACTCAAGAGTAGTGCACCTCTTTTACTGTCTTGTTTGCATCTCATGCCTTAGAAAACAAGAGTCTGTCCATTCCTTGACATCTCTAGAGGAAGCTAATATAAGCATGCTACGTGATGCTAAGATTGGGAAAGAGTTCCACATGCTCTTCCTCGTTGAGAATTTCTAGCTTAGTAGTTGAAATTTTTGTTTGACATTCAAATGTAAAGTTTTATTAAAATGATTTTTATTTACTTTATCTTTTACAGAGTTAGTGGTAGCGGAATTTCACAAAAAAATCAAAGACGCTTTTGAAGTGTTTGACCACGAGGCGAATAATACAGTGGATGTGAGGTTTGGCAATATTTTCTTTGCTCTAACTCTAAATTACTGATACAACTCATATGATAGAAAGGGGCTCTTGTTTTTTTTTTTTTTTCAGTCCTTGGATTTATTATACTGCTTATTTATTTATTTGAGAGAGAGTGCATATGTGGGCATATGAGTGGGGGGACTTCCTGCTTGAGTGTGGTGCCTGAAATGGGGCTGGATCTCTGGACCCATGAGATCATGACCTGAGCTGAAATCAAGAGCTGAACACTTAACCCACTGAACCACCCAGGTGCCCCTTATTGTGCTATTTAAATGTTTTATTTTCCTGTGCTCTGTAAAAGGTCTTCACTAACTATGCTTCATCAATACTGTTTTTTATTCTTTATAGTCTGGTGAAAGGAGTATCCACATTGCCTATTTCAACCTTCAGACTCTAAATTCTGTGGGATAGGTGAGCTCTACTGTAGCTAGATATGTAGTTGGTGCTCAATAAATAATTGTTGAATGAATGAGCAGAATTTGCTTTTATTTTTATTTTATTTTATTTTTTAAAGATTTATTTATTCATGAGAGACAGAGAAAGAGAGAGGCAGAGACATAGGCAGAAGGAGAAGCAGTGTCCTCTCAGGGAGCCCAAATCAGGACTTGATCCTGGGTCCTGGGATCAGGCCCTGAGCTGAAGGCAGATGCTCAACCGCTGAGCCACCCAGGCATCCCCATGATTTGCTTTTAAAATAAATATGTATGGGATGCCTGGGTGGTATAATCAGTGAAGCCTTGAATTCTTGGTTTTGGATCAGGTTGTGATCTCAGGGTTGTGAGATTGAATCTTGCGTTGGGCTCTGCAGTCAGTGTGGAGTCTGCTTGGGATTCTCTCCTTCTCCCTCTGCCCTTCTCGCTTGTGATCTCTCTCCCAAGTAAATCAATAAATCTTTTAAAAATAAAATAAAATGAGTAAGTATATATTATCTAGCATGACTTAGAAAGATTAATAATGCTTAAATGATGATACACTCTGAAGTAAAAGAACAAAAAGAACCCAAATGAAAGAACATAAACAGATGAGAGAGAGACATCAATACTGGTAGATCAGGAATGGAACAAAGGACACAGAATAGTCTGAGACCAGAGAGAAAAAGAAAAAGGCAGAGGAGACTATCCAGGAGGATAATAGAAGTTGTAGGATCCATGCCCCATCCATCACGGAAAAGCCATGAAACTCTTCTTCCAGGAGACCAGGCTAAATGAGGAACATTTAGTGGACTTACTGTCTCAAAACTCAGAATCTAGTACCCAGAGGCCAGCAAAGCTGTGGGCAGTGACAAAAGCAGAATTGGAAAGAAACTGCTTGATTATTATAGGTGGATACTTGTCAAGAGCCCAAGTGCTACACTTGAGCCAAGCTGGAGGAGCACTATACCGATTGTATTTTATTTGGGACAGATTGTCACTATATGTATCATTTAGTTTTTTACACCTGCAGGCACAAGGTATGATTGTAGGAGAGGGTACTGAGGGATGCAGGCCAATTCATTACTCTATAGCAGCACCTTATGAAGTTTTGTTTTCTACCTCATGCATGTTTATGGGCCTCACAGCAAGGGATAAGGTTGGAAATTACGTTCCAGAACCGCCCCCCCTTTCCCCAGTCACCTCGTGTGTGCCTTGGCTCAGCTATTGCCAAGGAAGTGTGTGGGCCACATGCTGGGCTGCAGCCCTGCCAGGGCTCCAGGGGCTTGGGGCACGTTGCAGGCTTGAGTGAGTGACCCTTGATTGTGAGTATCCTAGGAGGAAAATGAGCGGGTAGGGTGGTGTTGGCAGTGATAGGGTTTGGGATGGGGTGGGGAGCATGCAATATGCATGACCAAATCTCTGACCAAATTCCTGAATGGCCTATCCCCCAGACCCCTGGCTGAAGCTGCAGGGTTCTCCTGGGAGTAGGGGAGAGAAGGATTGTTAGGGAGGTCAGGGAAAGCCAGAGGAGACCAGGAGAGCTTTGTGAGAGACAACGAGAGTAGAGAAGAGAAACCAGTATTTACTCAAGGCATGCTGGCTGACAAACCAACTGTGGTTGGGTGCAGGGGCCTCATGGACACGACCTCATCTTACCCTTTGTATTTGTGTGGTAAGAGTTGGCATCTCCAGTTTCTGGAGACAAAGAAAAGGGAAATAGTTTGCTCAAGGTCATATCTGGGTTTTAAAATTCTAAGTCTTTAGCTGTGCTCCATTGCCTGCTTAATCTCCTGCCTTTGGGCCTCCTGACAGAAGCAGTGAAAAGAAAACCTCCCAAATCTCTGAGAACATGATGCCAGATCTTTTTTTGGTAAAAGAGCTAATTCAGGAAAAAAAGACTTGCTTATGGGGATGCATCTTTTTCCCCATTCAAAATTTAAAAATTTTACTGAGGCCCCAAGGGAAAGTGTATATTTTTACAACCTAGATTGTCTACTTTATTATATAAAGAGGGTTACCAAGAAAATTGGAATTATTTTTCACACTAAAATATCAATGCTATGCATATTCAAATAGTAGCAACAGGGATGGATGTAGCTTTCTAATCTTTGTTCCTTCTGTTAGTTTGTACAGCACTCTAAAGTTTATAATGAGTGTTCTCATGCAGTGGCATCATTTACTCTTTTTATGACAGAGAAGCAAAATGACTTGCCCAAGAAGAAGGCACAAGGGGCTAGCAACAGAGTTGGAGCTCAGAGTAGTTCCTTCTGTTTGGGCAGCTATGCAGCAGCCCCAGACAGGCCCCAGGAACAAATGCGGCGATGAATGAGATCTGGTCCTGCCTTACCCAGCCTTGGCCAGCTCTTTCTTTGTAAAAACAGTTAATCTAGCTAGAATTTATTTTGGCACATGATTAAAAGTGGAGGTCTAAATATAGACTTTTTCCCTCCCCAAATTGCCAAACAATTTATTTTATTGGCATCACGAATTGTCACACCTAGTTTGTAATATACTGCATTTTCTATAATTGAATCTAATTTGGGCTGATCTAATTTATTCTGATCCGTTGCTTTACCTTTGAGTCTTATGCTAGATCAGTCTAATACTAATTGCTGTAAGTGTGAAATAAACTACTAGGCTCTTTATTACTCTTCTTTTTAAATATTTTACTTAATTGAAAAAATTTTAATTAGAAAAAAACAAGACATGGAAACAACGTACGTGTTCACTGATGGATGAATGGATAAAGAAGTTGTGGTATATATGTAATGGAATATTATTCAGCCATAAAAATGAGGAAATCCTGCCATTTGTGACAACATGGTTGAATCCTGAGGGAATTATGCAAAGTGAAATAAGCCAGAGAAAGACAAGTAGCATATGATTTCATGTATTTGTGGAATATAAATACAAACAAACAAAAAAACAAACTCAGAAAAAGAGATCAGACTTGTGGTTACTGGGCATGGAGGATAGTGGGGGGGGGGATTGAAGGAAACTCATTAAAAGTACAAACTTCTAGTTACAAGGTGAGTACTAGGGGTGTAACGTACAACATGATGACTGTAGCTAACACTGCTGTATGATTTATAGGGAAGCTGTAAGGAGAGTAAACCATAAGAGTTCTCATCACAAGATCTCTCTCTTTCTTTCTTTCTTTCTTTCTTTCTTTCTTTCTTTCTTTCTTTCTTTCTTTCTTTCTTTCTTTCTTTCTTTCTGTGTCTGTATAGGAAGATGGGTGTTAGTTGAACCTATTATGGTCATCATGTCCTAACATACATAAATCATACCGTCATGCTGTACACTTTAAACTTACACTCCATTGATACATGTCAATGTTTTTCTCAATAAAACTGGAAAAAAAATTGAGGGCAGAATTCTATGTAAAGAGTGGCGTAGAGAAGCATTGGACAGAGTGAGAGTCTAGGACAGGTAATGGCTTGGTTTGGGCAGGAGAGAGCTGTTCCTGGAGGTGCTCCCAGCACATTTGGCGGTGTCTCCCCTACCCTGTAGGTAATGGCAACGTTTTCCTTGTAGGACAGACCCGGGCCCCCTTACATATGAGTTTTGTGGTGGTTGCTGTCTCCTCCCTACCTCTGCACAATTTGAAAGGTCGAATTTGAAACTGTACCACTACGGAAAACATCATGAAATGGGTCCCTGCTGCCTTCCCCCTGGCTCCAACAGGCAACCTTGAGGTCCTGGGCTCCACTCTTGACTTGGTCGAGTAATTTATTTTTCGCCTTCACCTCATAGGAAGGACTCTTTAAGGGGTCTGGGAAGTCAAAACTATTTTTATAATAAATCTAAGGCAGTATTTGCTATTTTCATTCTCATTTTTTCACAAGTGTATATATTGGAGTTTCTGAAAAGCTACATGATGTGTGATATTGTGACAGATTGGATGCAGAATCAGATATGAGAATATAGCTATTTTCTGTTAGGCCAGACATTACAGAGATTTGCAAACATATAGAATGGTGCCATTCTTCTAATTAAATTTGTTCTTGTTTGGAAAATGTAATTATTTTTCATAAAATTATGTTATTTACCTACATATTTATGGTTATTTCTGAATGAAAGTTTTAAAATATTTTAAAAAGATTTCTAAGTATTTTAAAATTTTTTGAGGTTTAATTTCTAATACGATAAATATAGATAAATACAACTCACATAAGGAAAAGCTTTCTGAGGATCTCTATCATTTTTAAGAATGCAAAAAGAGTTCTGAAACCCAAAAATATGAGAACCTCTGTTGTCAGTGGACATTTTTAAAGCTCTTAGGACAATATTAGCTCAGAACAAATTAGCTTGGGATTTAAAACTTAGAACAATATTAGGTGGTAGTAGTAGTAGTAGTAGTAGTAGTAGTAGTAGTAGTAGTGCATTTTATATTCTTGAAGTAAATAATTTAGAATTGTTTTCCTCTATTTATTCTGGATTAGCAATTATACTTAACAAACCTCTCCTAGGAATTTTTTATGTATTTCTATACATTCTGTTTTGATCTTTTAAATTTTGAGATAGTGCATTTTCCTTGTTAAATAGTTTTTGAAAGCTAGCACCTT